TAAACTCTAAAGGGTGGGCCCCCCGAAAGGACGACCCACAAGGCGCAACTGAGGGGTCCGAGTTGAGGCTTGAGGTCTAAGGTTGAACCCATGGGCCCCTAGTATGGGCCCTTAACCCTGGGATCCTCATATACCTACTATATACCCTATATGTTCCCTTAGGGGTCCCTGGAATCCCCCTAGACTCTAATCTTAGAAGGGTGATGTCGCACGGTCTTGCTTCAGGCTTTGGAACTGATGACTTGTATATAATGAAAGCCCGACATGCAAATTGCAAGTTTGCCCTAACCCCCCAGGTACCTACTATATAGGGTACTAGAGCCCCTAGGGCCCTATATAGTAGGTACCTGGGAAGTTAGGGTTAGATCTTTGGGGCATCGGGGTATGGGAATCCCGGCTCAAGCACGGAGCCCAAGACGACGAGCTCTGATGACCGGATTACAGCTCATATGGGGGTTTCCGAAAATAGGGGTCCCTAATATAGTACCCTAAATAGTAGGATCCTTATTATAAGGATCCCAAAATTAAGGCACCCCCTGTTGCTCCTATGGCATCATGGCGCGCACATCCCTGTCCACTACACTATGGAAGCCCGAAGAAGGACTTTCACGGTTTCGGGTTTTGGGTTTAGGGTTTAGCCCCTAAGACCCTTATGAACCCTTAAGCCGGCCCTCGATAGTCTCCTGCGGAGGTCGACGTTTCGGTCCCGGTGTTTGCTGAGGTTGATGCGGCACCTGATTGGTGTTCGGGCAAGCGACCGGGCTGGCGAAGGAGAACTCCGCCGTGCGGCTCCCGGAGTCTAATATAGGGGCCTACATGATTGGAATAAGGTTTTTTCGGGGGTAGGTTCTAGAATAATGACAGTGACATTAAGGAACCCTGAGGAATAACATCGGACTAACATCGGTAATTGTTCGGGCTTCGATATTTGGGTTTTGGGTCAATCCTAAACAGCAGTCCTTCTGTGTTTGTGGATTTATGATAACTTTGTGATCCTGCTTTGGATTGTACAGCTGCTGAGCAACCCCTATGAAGACCAAACCCCAAAGACCGAAACTCTGTCGAAGCCTTCCGCCCCCCAACGGGTGGTTGCTCATGAAGTGGGCTCGCTTTGCAGTCTCCATGTTGCTCCGCCATGTCCCATACTGAACCCTAAACCCTAAACCTAAACCCTAAACCCTAAAACCTAAACCCTAAACCCTACACCAAACCGAAACTCAAAGCCCAAAGCCTGCTCTCGGGAGTCTGAAGTCTGAACAATAACTGGACAACAAAGCCCTAGACAAACAATCCGCGTTCGAGTTCTCTAAACCGAAGCCTCTAAATCTCAATACATACTACAGCCTGGAATCCTCCGAAAGCTCTAAACCCTAATCAGCTGCAGAATTCTGCATCCTCAAACCCTTTATAACCCTGAATGATTGTATAAGCCTGAAACCGTCAACTTTCACCATGCTTGGTCCAGGCACTTGCCGACTAAGGAGGCAGCTCGGGCCCAATACTCCTTGGGTTGACAGTTTGTTTGCGTTTAACGTGTTCTTGCATGGCCTGATAGCGCTTTTTTAAGGGCCCTAGACGGGAAACCCTAAACCCTAAACCTCAAGGATCTCATAAAGAGGGTTTTTTTAAGACGTTCGGGTATGCTGAGAGTCTCAGGTTCAGGGTCCATGGAGATCTTTGGCTTTTAAGCTCAAGTTGGGCTTAGAGCCTTTAGGGAAACCTTGACTAACAAATTAGAATAGGTTTTTGGGGTAGATTATACTATAATGATAATAAGGACCCCCAACATAGTTAGCAATTATTGAGGCCCCTATATCATTCGATTCCGTCTCTGGTGGGCTTCAAGATCCATGAGCTGCAGGTATTACAAATGAAGACCAAATCTGAAGTTCGGTTCCTCTCTCCGTGAAAAGAACGCGGGCGAACGCGCGGCGCGTGGTTTTTAGGTACGGAAATTTCAAGAGGCAAAAGGAAGGCACAAGCATCACCTCCCCTGACAAGTTTAGTTTAGGGTCTGGGGTTTAGCAGCTGCAGCAACATCCAACGCTGAAAGGCCGGTGCAGAAGCTTGAGCTCAAGCATCCCCAAACCCTAAACTTCCCTAAATTTCCCTGAGCCCTAAGAATCCCTACCTTAAGAACCCCAAACCCACTTTTTTGTAGGTTCTGATTATAAACCCTAATATGGGATTTATAGGGACCCTACAGAAAAGTAGGTTTTGGGTTCTTAAGGTACGACCTTGGATAACCCTCACCTTCTCTCCAGAAGCCAAGGCTCGCTTTCGCTAATCTCACCCTTCCTTCGGCTCAGTGCGTTGATCTCCGCCTGCTGTAAATGGAGCAATATGGAAGAATCACACACTGCTATCGAGGCACATACCTTCTCTCTGCGGCTCCCGAGTGAATGGCTCACTTGACGGACTGGTCTTTAGCCCTCTTGACTCTGGGATGATGTCCTTGTTGGTGATGTTTGTGCTGCTGGTGGTTGTGGTGGCGGGAGCTGCAGTGGAAACTACTAGCAGCAGCAGGGGCATCCCTAGTAATTAGTTGCCCAGCCGTCGGCAGAACAGGAGAGCGATCGCTACCGTCGACCTGGTGGTGCTTCTGGTGGCCGTGGTCGTAAACTCATTGCAAAAATTTGCTTTGGATTAGTTTTTACCCGGGAATTCAGTGTAGAGTGTAGAGCTCCCACATGTGGCTTGTAAATTCGGGAGTCACGGTTCTTAATACCGAGCCCCTACGGCCAAAGTCCCAAAGTTAAGATGGTGGCCTGGCTCTTTTTCAGCAGCTCCCGGCCAAATCTGTCGAGAGCCACCCGCACTATGAGGCCACGTGCCTCGGGAAGCGCAGGATTTTGGACCAGAGAGAAAACCGAAGAACAAGGATGAGGCGCAGGGCTCATGTTATTGGGGTGGGAGAATGACTAATCGAAGTACCGTCACAATGTTTCTGTGGTTCTGAGACGTCCTTGCACATCAAGCCTGCCTCAAGGAGGACTAGATGCCGGGCCTTGTACACCGTAACCGCTTAACCTTAGGATACGTTTATTTACTTTTGG